CCCCAAAACCCCAAAACCCCGCAATACAGATATTAAGTAAATCTATAAGAATAAAGATAATACTTCATTTATCAAAACATAATAAAAACTTAATTTAGGTCAATTAATATTATGTAAAAACAAAAGCAATAGCCAAGTATTTTGAGAACAATTTAAAACTTTACAAGTGATATTTCGAATCAATCATGTTATTTTTCTCTAAATTTTATGGTCTTAACAACTACAACCTGCCCATTTCCCATTTTATATTTATTGTTATTTAATTGTTCTTCTGTCTCTGGAGTCTAAAAATCATTTGGATATTTTTTTAAATATTCCTTGACACCTTCATCAAATTTGACTTTACCAGAATGATCAGAGATAATAAATCTTATCTAGTTTTCATCTAATAGTTTATTTCCCAAAATAATATTTTCAACGTCAGAAGACTCTATAGATTATTCTATCCAAATATCAGTTGATTACTTTTAATAGATTTTTTTGCTTTGTGCTTAAATGGAAATATTACTTCTTGTTTCGTTGAAATTCAAAGGTATGAGACTTCTCTCAAGTGACAAATTATCAATCATCGAATTTAATGATCTATTGCTGCTACTTAAATAATCAATTTAGCACTGTTATTTTGTTAACCTTATTTATTCTTCTATTAACCTCTATTCTTCAATATATAGTTCATCATTTTCATCAAAGAATGTATCGTCATCAATTATATTTTTAGTCAAAGGTGATTAATATTTCTATGAATCTGTTAGCTAATAAAAGTCTATTGGCTTCTGAAGTGAGAATTAATTTTTAGATTTAGTAAAATCTAGAGCAAAGTTATTATTTAAATTATTGGTTTTAGAAGTAAGTGAATTTTTCTCATCAGCAAAATTGAATAATTAACTCATCCATTTCTTATCACGAAATCTTTTATTCTTTTCATCTTGAATTTCAAGAATGACTTAATAAATAACTCTACCCTAAAGTTCAAGCTAGAATACATCTTTAATTAATTCGTAATCTTATAATTTGCATTCCCTTTCGAATTATTCTATTACTAAGAGCATAGTTTCTTTTGCTTAACCAATAGCTCTTACAAATATTTTATCTTATCTATCTCTCAGTAATTTGCATTTTATATAGTAAGCACACTTCATAACATCAGATTGCTAAGCAATTTTCATTTATTTTTTCAAAAGATTTTGCTTCTCTTTCATCTTTTCTTGAATTAACTGGATGTCATCTTTGATTTTCTTGAGATCCTCTGGTAAATAGCTATTTAATTGATTTTGTAAAAGTTTTTATAATTCTCTGAGATCTTATTCAGCATCGATATAATCTATATATTGTAGTATTTAGTCTACATTAGGATTTCTAGATTATGAAATTTATTCTTATCTTTTATAGTTTTCTATATTTTTTAAGGAATTATCCAATGTATACATAAAATTAGGATTTTCTGAAGATAAATTTATGAGATCTTGAATCTATTAATTTGTAAAAGAATCATTTTAGTCTTTAGTTTTTTAGCTATCTCATATTTAAACTCAGTTATTATGAAATTAGTTATTTTAAGCAAGATTATAATTGAATTATTCATCTTTTAGACTACTTACTTCTTCGTCAAAGTAAGAGTTAATTTAGTTTATTCTAGTATCATTAAATGATTACGACGAAGTAAAATTCTATTGTAACCTTTGTTCTTGATAAGTTTATCTAATTTTAAATCCACCAACAATAAATTTTTAATTTTTAATATCTTCTGCATCTAGTGAGTTTTGGTATATTTGATCATAAATCTCAAAAGTAACTGTGTCTTGATAATCATTTTTATAGGATTTTAGATACTTTTGCTATCCCATGAAAGTACAACATACTCCATCTAAACTTGATATTTCATTCTTTAATTATTCAAAAAAGCTATCTGCAAGTATATTTAGAATATCTATATCATCATAATTCCAGATAATAATGTCACTTTTAAAATTACTAAGTTCACTTAACTTGATTATTGATTATTCTTTTAATGTCTATTCCATTGATGATTAGATAGATATAAATTGAATTTTACAGATTGGACTTTTATCTAAAAGCAATTATTTTAATCAGCTGAGATTAATTTAGTTAAAGTTTGATGTATTTTTTGAGTCAACAAAAAATATTATTTGAGTTTCTAATGATTCTTAAATTTTTCTATAAATTTGATCAAGTGTCTCATTGAAATTTATTCAACCATAAGCCTGAATTGTATCTTTGACGCCTGCAACAAAATTCTAAAACAATTGATTTTTAATATCACATTGATTTAAGGACAAACTTTCTGTATTAGAGGCAATAGGTATAATAGTTATCTCTTTTAGATCACCATTTGCTATTATAGATAACATTTTCTGACTAAATAGAATGAGATGCTTTTTTAAAAGTGAAAGACGACTATCAATGTTCATATTTTGGCTACAGTCTATTGCAAATATGAGAGTTCTATTCTTTGATCTGTCTTTTAAATACGATTAAAAGTTATCCTTCGAAGTACTTAATTCAGCAGTAACTTCATATAAATCTTAATCAATTTATTGAGATTTTACTTTGACATCCATTATCTTTTAACTTTCCATTTTATACTTTATTAAGTGATTATATTAAACTTAATATTATTGGAATTTAACTTGCAATATTGCTAGAACTATATCAAATTATACTAGTCATGATTTGTTCAAATAAAAAAGATATGGTTCAAATTTTGATGGCTGCTTTAGATCTTGCTTTTTATCAATCACATAGAGCGAAAATCTAATTGCAATTATAAGCATAATAATATTGTCAATCATAGATATGAATCAATAATCAAACTGAATATATGGATTGAAATAAGACACTAAAGTTATTTCTTAAATGAGAAAATTCCAATAGCTAAACTCTGCTTCACTAGAAGTATCAAGCTTTGAAGATTTTAAATCTCTATGGATATAAATAATTCCCAGGTCTAATATGTGAGCTATAGGGAGTACTCGTATTATTCAAACTAAAGAATTCAAGGTTGTTATCATAAAGAGTAAATTTGGGTGTGATTTAAATAAAACAGTTCTCAAAGACTCATAATCAATCCAATATTAATTCGATTTAATACAATTAGGAAAATTTAACCGCACAGTTGGATATTATTGTAATTATTTCTTACTCACTCATATTCCCTTGCATATCAATATTCTGGGGTTTTGGGGTTTTGGGGTTTTGGGGTTTTGGGG